TAAATGTATCATGGGAGGTTGTGTTCCTCTTATTTACCCCAAATTATGAAAGTAATTTTATTCGATGGACATGATGAAATAATGACAAATAATAATGAAATCATTAGCTGCATTTTCTATATCAAACCATGTACTTGCTTAATATTTGTCAAATGCACAATAAGATGAACATTGCATAGTTTTATAAAATATTATCAGAGAAGAAGAAATTATGTCTGCATGCAAAAATCTATTACTGCAAATGTCAGCAGCAGCACACTAAGGGTTCTGCAAAGGGGATGTGAATCTCTTTTTGACCATGTTGCAGAACTGAACTGTTGTTAAACCAGAGTTTGGAAAAAGAGTTTTTGCAGACTAATAATATGAGAGATTTGGTCTCGACAGACAGTGACTGGATTTGGGCAGGAAATTGTAGCCCACAATGATTTCTCCAGTTTCATTTAGATTTCCTGTAATTCTGACATGAATCTCAACAACAGCTCTGCAGCAACGTGAGGATTGAAACCAGGAGAAAGCCAAATAGTGGAGGCCAGTGAGTTCATGCTGTCTATTACACACAGAAGGGTTTGATAAATCCTGTCCCTAATTCTTTTATTCTTGTATACTTTGGGTGGTACTGAAACTGCGGACCTTTCAGAGTCTAAGATTGAAGACCTTTCCATCCACCCACAGTTGTGTAATGACTGAGGATGTCATCCTTGAAACAAAGGAAACAACAGAACAAAAACAAAGAAATGAATGAGCAGTTACTGGGCACAGGTCTATATTTACCATAAGAAAAGTGTCATTACAGTTAGCGTTTGTGTCTGCAGCTCCGATTAATCACCTTTTGATTCATCTGCCTATTTATTCAGTTGTCCAGGGTCAATCGATGTGCCCCACCCCTGAATGCATCAACTTTATTAATTGAGAAACAACATATGCTCACATTAAGTGACCTTTTCGCATTCAAAGATAGACTATAAAGGACTCATTAGGGGTGGTGGTGTCACATCTTGGAATAATTAAACTATAAATACTTCTGAGGAGCTTGCTACTGGCCACATTCATCAGGGCGCTCAGTTCATAACAGTTTTTACTGAACTCAGGCATCTGTTCAGTCCTCCTCTGTGAGCGTCTCTCCTAACGTGAAATTATTTCTTACTTGTCCTGGTGATCACACTTATCTTAAGATATCTCACCTATGTATTTGTTCATTTTCAAGCAACTTATCGCAACCTGCTTAAAAGCAAACACATACAGACACAAGCTCTGATAATCTGCAATGAAAATTCATTTACAGTATTGTCATTGATAAGTAATCTGACGATTCTCAAGTTTACATGGCGGACAGCTTTTTCCCTACATTCCCTCTCAAATCTAACTCATAACTAGAATGGCACTCAGTAGAGCACATGCCTCTGCCAAGGCCCAGCAATCCCCTTAAATTCAAACAAGCTGCACCACATTTCACACATGCAAAGATAAATATATGTATATGTAAAAAGAATATATCTTGTTGCAAAGTAAGACTTCATTATTCTGCTTACCTACATTACATCTGTGCTCTTTAGATTCAACTCATGTAATGTAAGTCATTGACTTATTTGACCTAAAGGAACAATAAAACCAAATCTACTAATGTAAACTGGACTGGTGTTCCTGGAAATAAAGAGAGCTCAGCGTGTTGGGGGGACTGTGTCCCAGCATGCTCCGTGATAATGTTGTAGACAGAAGTTAAGTTGTGTTCCAAGACCTTATAAATTTTACTTGGCATTTGCCGGTGAGTTCTTTTCGTTATGACAGGTGAAGCTGCTGTTGGCACCATAAGCTATCGTATGTGCACGGTTAGTAAGACCCCAGAATAGGTGTGACTTTAACTTTGAGGGAATATACACCAACTTTTTATAGCAACTAGCATAATAAAGCATATAAATGGATTAATTATACACTGATAACCCTTGTCTATATTAATAAAGGATCTTGTTGTTATTTTCACTGTTGAAAGTTATGCTTGTATTTTCACAGTGAAGAGATCTGGGTTTAATTTAAACTGTAATGATTGTATAATTTAATTTATCATATTGTTATAAATTTAAAATTGTGTCAATTGCATTAAATAAAAAAAATGTGAACCAATCATTCTTTGTTGTGCTAACTTATCTGAGGCAATCAATTTCTTACTGGGTTAAGACAACTATTCAGTTTAATCTGAATATCAGTTTAATCACTAACTTGTTTTACTTTAACTGCTAAAATTTTAAAAGAACAAGTTGCTTTCACTTGCCATTCTTAAGTTGGAAATACTTGTAAAATTAAGTAAATGCTGAAAATAAGTTTTAAATGGATTTAACAGGTAGATATGAAGTTAACATAACTTAAAACTATGGTTGTATTTATCTACTTTTGTCAAGGCCATCGGTTTCTAGATTTTTCCTAAGTAAGAACGACTTCAGATGTTACAGTGCGTTAAGAGCACAGTGAACACGACTTCAAGGCCAATGATGGGAGATAGATGTTATCATATCTTGCTGATTTCTCTGACACACCCTGACCTTCAGAAACTACAGTGGTTGAAAGCACTTCTGGAAAATAAATGACAAATCTGATAAAATGTCACGCACATGTGTTTATTATGAAATGTACATTCAAGTGCAACAGTTCAGTGTGAATTAATCACGGCATTTATTTGGACATAAAATGATTGAAATGTTAATGACAACACAAGATTTCTCATAAACACTACAGCACTTTAAATAAATAATAAATTGTACTTGTAACATAACACAACAACAAAAATAACCATAAATACAACTTAAAATAAATAACTATATGGTTTAAGGCAAAGATATAAATCAACAGATTGACAATGAATGACAACTGAACTGTGGCTGTGTGAAGCAGTAACATCTTTTTTTTGATTCATTAGCTAAACTAAAAAAATGAAGAAAAAGTGGATGACCATAATTCTAATTTAGTAAACTGATGACGAGATTTGATAAATTTGTTAATTTAAGAACACAGTCAGTTTTGTTTTCACCGTGTAACATATTTTTCCCAGTGGAAATGATCCTCCAAAGATTACAGTGAGTAACCTGTGTTTGGCATCCCCCCCCCTCAGGCACAGTGACATTTACTGACAATAAAGTCGTTAAAAGGTGTCAGCTTTAACTTTCCCCTACTGTCATAATGCATGAGAACCATTGGCTCGTAGGCCGCCGGCACGCAGCAGGGGTGAGGCGTCCCTCCTTTGGTAATCTGGTGCAGCCGGGACTTCACCTGCGTGTGCATGCTGGCTGGCTTGTAGTTGTGGGGGCAGGCGCCGTCACAGAGATGCATCGTGTATTCGGCCGGGGCCACAACCCAGTCCGTCCAGCCGATGTCTTTGAAGGACACGGTGACTGACTTACGGCAGCACAGTCCTTGTTCGTCACAGTCGTCCTCCTTGTTGGAGCGTCTTGTCCTCTGAGCCGGTTTGGGCTGCACAAGGCCTAATTCCAGAGAAATGATTGGGTTTGCCTTCAGTGCATCTCCGTCGACCAGAACCATCCCAATGTCCACAACCAGCACTTGACCACCATCACTTATCATCCACTCCTCCACCTCGGGGCTGAGGTCCAAAAGCACATCTTGACAGGTTGAGACGTTGACGTGGTCTGTGTGAGTCCAAGCAGCAGAGTTCATCGGCTTCATGCCGTCGACTCGAACTTTAACCTCTTGTCTCACCTCAGGCTTAACTGATGTGGGTTTATTTAAGATCTGCCTGGAAATCTTCAGCTCTGCCCGAGCCAGAGTCAGCCCAGTCTGGATGTGGGGGGTTTTATGGAAAACAGCTCTGTACCACTGCATATGTCGAACTGATTGTGGGTGTTCTCGCCTCCAAGGTAGTTTTACCGGCTCCACTAAAACACACACACACACTTCGTTAGAAAACCAAGCTGTAATGATTTCCCAAATACATTCAGGAGACAATATAACAATTAGCAAAAGGGAGAAAAAGGTTCTTAAAATGCTTATTATTAAAGACATGAATGGAAATGTGTTCAGAGAGCATCATGGTAAAGGTGTGCCTGTCACGCTAACGCTTTCTAAAAGCTTATAGGAATGTGTCTGCTTTGTTTACACGGCTGTTCCATGGTTCTCCTCCAACACTTACATATGTTTAAAGTCTAAAGGTAAATTCCAGGACTGACATCTTTACGTGGAGCATGAGCTAGAAAGACAGAAGCTGTTTATTGTCTTCACAACAACACAATAGCTTTTATCAGCAGAGGTTAAACTTGTTTAAGATTTCATCATCTTGTCATAAAACATTCCTTCCTCCTCCCACTCAGACTGATTAAATTGTCTTTTCACATCAGCCGTTCCAGTGTGACAGTGGTTAAATCAGCACTATAAGTGTTTTCAGACATATCTCACCTGTGGATGGAAAAAGAACTGTGGAAATTGTTGATTGCCAGGTTTCGCTCATCGGTTGGCTGGAATTCCCTCTCATCTCTCTTAGCTTTTCTCTGTAGAGATGAAACATCTCCCTCAGCTCCGGGCCTGAGGCCTTTTGGGTCGCCCTGGGCTCCCTGTCCATACCCAAAGAGCTGAGGATCCCCGTCTTCACGGCCTCCAGGAGCAGGGCCCTTTGGCTGTCTGTCCTGTCCATGTCAGGTGCACCCCTGTGGGCCATGTGAGGCCGGCTCTCCCCTGGGCTGGAGAGGGAGAGGAGGAGTAGCAGCGTGTAGGAGAGTCCATAGAGTGCGCGTGGTCTGAGCATGGTGAGCCCGGTGGGTAGATTTGGTCTGAGAGTGCTGCAGCTCAGTGGATGGGGTTTGTCATGTATGACAATTCTTGACATGCTTTTATTTATAGAGCTTGCGTGTTGCCACACCCCTGGTCTGTCAGGTGAGTCAGGTGAGCCTGTGATGGGCTCAGCCAGGGCCATATGTCAGTATGTGGCAACGTTGCTGCATTGTTGCATGACACCTATGGAAATAAAAATCTGTGGCATTTACTTTTAATTATCAGGGTTTTTTTTTTTATCAAACATTGGGAAGTGAAAGGACAGTGACATGAAATAAAGGGATTTCTGGATGAGATTTGGTTACGTCACAAGTACACAGTGTGCACATCAGCACGCTAGGTCACCAGGATTGTCCAGTAATGTGTCACTTAATCAAATAAATGACCATATGTCTTACAGTAACCAATTCTAAGGAAAGGTACAATGGGCAATTACATTAGTTCCTTCCAGGGTTATTAATGATAATGTGATAGTGTATTGATCCCTATGAGGCTGTGGCTCTGTTCCATTATAATTCTGCTCTGTACGGCCAAAGGTCAGGATCAGCAGCAGACCAAAGAAGTTAACTTCCCAGCATGCATGTTGCTAAAATCTGGGAAGCCCAATCTCGAAAAACAGTGCAGCCAAGTAAATAAACAATGAAAAAGACCCCCCAAAAAAGATGGAGAGAGGTAGTTTTGTGTTTAAACCAGCCCACACGAGAAAACACCTCACGGTTAATATCAGACAAACAAAGAAATATAAGAAAAAGTCTGTGAGAGTTATCCGAGACTCACATCACAGGAGCTCAAAGATCAAAGCAGAGCTGAGTGAAGGAGCTCTATTAAAATAGACTGAAACCATATCTGATCTCAGCCCTCACGGCCTCCTGTGCTGGATAAAAGAGCAGCATTCCTGCTCCGTCAGTAGTTAAATGTTGCCTCAGACCAAAGAGCAAAACACAGGCTACATCTACGTCTGCACAGTCGAGCGTTGCCAAACAGTTATCAACCTATTATGTGAAAATCCTCACTTGTATCAGTAAATAGGATCAGTACACTGCTTGATTACAAAATCGTTTCCCCACACTGTTACGTGGCCGTCTGTGTCTTGCGGACATTCCCGCGCACAGCAGTCGCTTGCTGATAAAGATTTACCACAACATGAATGGAAAAAAAGCTTGAAAATTACTATTACAATATTCTGCATCTGATTAAAAGGACAGTAAAAGTGTTGCGTGATAAGAAAGTTATTAAAAGTAAAATCAAATACTTATATGCACATTATGTTCTAATAAAATGATAAAACCATAAAGAAAATGAAAGCCACACAAACACAAGATTAACAGTGTGTATGCTGTTAAATTTCAATAACCAGTCATTTTAATGTCATAGTTGGAAAGGAGGGGTTTCAGGAAAATAAAGATTAAAATACTGCTGCACAAATTCAGTTTTTTTTATCATGAGATATGATTAATTTTAACCACTCTAACCAAAATCAAAATTCAAACAATTTGTAGAGGTAATATTAATTTCCTATATATGATAATATGTGAGTATATATATCAATATATTATAATTATAGATACAGGATATTCTTTTAGATAAATTGAAGCTGCTCTGCACTGCAGAGTGTGTGAATTTCTGAGCAATGAGTCACTGAAGTGATGAAATGATCATGTGATCTCTTGCAAGTTGAAAGTGTGTGAAAGGTGTAAAGTGACTCATGCAGACTGGCTCTCTCATTTCCTTCACTTTCTTCATATCACCTTCTTTCACCGCACTCCCATAATTCCCTTTTGCTATTGAGTCCTGTATGTCTTTGTGTCCCGTCTGTGCTTTAGTGTGTTTTTTAGTCTATTTTATTCAATTTGATGCCCATCTTGAACACAACTCTGAGGCAGATGAAACAGCATCTCTAAGTTGGATTAATGATAGATAAGGAGCTAAATGTGAGAGAAACAGAGAATGAAAAGGCAGAAGTAACAGTCATTTCACCACACTGGTGAAACATACAGAGAAACCTTTCACTCAAACATTAAAAACACATCTTTCCATTAAACTGCACAACTCAGACCTGTGAGGACGATCACAACTGTAAAAAATGGATTTCACTTGCAACAGTTATTAACATTAAACCTTCTATTTCAGCAGCACATGTGCACAGTTGTTTAAGGGACCTGCTGCAGGTACTGTCAGTAGTTTTAACATCTTGAAGAAGTTGCGAGAGTTCCTCTGCGTGTGTGTCCTCCAGTGGCGCAGACTGTGGGAGTCAAACCATCTCCTTGATCTTACTCATCTCAAAAGCAAATATTTTATAACTCTGGCTCTTTGGGCTGATGCTGTGGAATGAATTTGGAATTGATGAGACACCTCCTGAGGATAAATGTTCATATAAACAGATAGATAAACTAGTGTGTCTTTACGTTTCACTGCCATTCTTACCTTATTTGACCCATGTTACTTTCATTTATTCATCCATTATTTACTTTTTGTCCTTCCCTTTAGGTTTCATCACACTGGGATCTCTCCCAGGATGAACTTGGCAGATCAGAGAATAACCAGTGACACAAGCACATATAGCTGCATTCTGCCCCCTTGTGGCCCTAAAGCTACAGTACGGAATTTAATTAAGTCGGCTCAGCTTGATGTGGAGTCAGAGGGAAAGTGGAAATGTGAACTTCATGTTGAAGTCATAACAAAGATGTCTCTGGACAGAATACAAGAGGAAATCCTCTGTTTTCCAAAAGCTGAACAAAAGGTCAAGTGTGTGTGTGTGTGTGTGTGTGTGTGTGTGTGTGTCTGTGTGTGTGTGTGTGTGTGTGTGACAGATTGTCCACAAGAATAATAATTTTCTTCATTTTCTTTCTTTTTCCATTTATTCCAGCTGCTCCAGTGGAAATGATCAGGTTTGTGATTTAAACTTGTCCTCTAACCATACCAAACTTTTCAGCACTAGTCACCCGGAGGTTTCATTTATGTTTTATTTTCCTCATTTCTTTTGTGTTATATAATTCACACATCTGAGTGGCAGGGCTGTCAGATGACTCTGTGTGGTTACTTTTACCTGTCTGTGTTTAAATGGTATCAAACAGAAGAGGGTGAAAATTGGGCTGAGGAAGAGCTGACTTTCATACATGATTGGTTCCACTAATGAGCATGAAGCATCTGAAGATGACCTATGCTGGATCACATGGAGAGCGTGATAAAAGAACAAACAGTGACTCTACAGTCTGAGCCTTCTTATAAACTATCATCATCATCATCATCAGTCTGCTACACAACCATAATCCAGATATTTGTTCACACATACGATTCGTTTTGTCCAGGTTTGTGATGATGTTTGCTCGGGATCATACAAATACACAGGGACACATCACACAAAAAAGAATACGACTTTATTAATCACAAAGGCAATCAGGTTCAGGCCAAGAAGACTTAAAACCAAGATACAGACATCCACTGAAACAATAACACAATAAAACATCTGTTCAGTTGCATTGAGCTAAAAAGGTTGTTATAACTAACTAAATTAATTACACAGAAGGACTCAGTAATTTCCCCCTGTCACCTGGACTGTTAAAGCTGATTATAATGTTTTAAAATGGGTTATAGTTCTGTTAGTTGATGGAGAATGATAAAAGGTGAAGACACAGAGATAACCTGCGATAGACACACATTAACAATAGCAATAATTTGCTGTGATAAATGTTGATTTTGACAAATAAGAAAGAAGACAAACACTGTGTAAAAAGCAGAATATATTAACGTTTGGACAGTGTTAGATCATCTCTGTGGTAGATTCCTGACATTCCTGAGGGGCTCTTTGTTGCCACAAGCACAAAGAAGTGAAATTAAATATTTTTCACGCTTCCCCCGTGCATTTTATCTCATTTAGATTGGTATCAAGGCCACTTTTTTAAAACTTGAATTTATGGAGACTTTGTATTTATTTCATTGTTTTGCTCACTCCGTAAATACTTGATTTCCAACATGTTGTTTTAACCTATGAAACTGAAAAAACATAAACTTCAAGGGGAAACAAGGGAGGATTCACATTCCTCTGCATTACAGACACGGACATGTGACAGCACAGGACAAGAGAATAACCATTGTTGTAAAAGGAAGAGAAAAAAAGCACATCACGGCACCGCTCGGTACCACACACACATCAATCACTGCTATTCAGCTTTAAAGCACAATTGTTCTTCATCCTCTCTCTGCTGAGGTTCCTGCAGACAGACACTGTGGTGTTTTACATGTCTGGTGAATGCATGAGGACTGAGGTACATACAGTCTATCTGCATGTGATGGCACATGTGGAAGTAAGTGGAGTGCATGTGTCACTGTAGGGGAAGGCTGTTCAAATTCACTAGCAAATGGGCCAGACAGGAAAATCACTGGGGTTCGTCTGGTCTACATGTCACACACAGCAACAAATGTTTGGTGCATGATCTTACTCTCTCGGCAGCAGCACTAAGCGGGGTCAACCCACTCCTTTACTTACCAACAACAATAACAATAAATGACTCTTTGTTAGGAATTTATATCTTCTATGCCTTTTTAAATGGAATGATGTAAATGTGCACCTGATGTTGAACATGCCTCTGATTTTGAAAAATCCTAGATCTGCCATCGGCAGTAAAAAACTAAATGTGGTACATTCTAATGCCACTGTTCCTTAATTCACAATTCCCTTAATAATTGAATATTTTAATGTTCGTTTAAATTCTCAATATCCGTAATATTTATAATTATATTCAGGCATTAGAAAATCAAGAATGTGTTCCTATTTGTTTCTCACAAATCAGAGGGAAATGACTCAGTGACAAGATAAACCACAAATATAAATCATGGAGGAAATGTGTGTAAACATATGAATATATATCTGAGAAATATATGTATGTTACTGCAGGAGGCTCCATTACATATTCACTTTATTAAAGATGATTTGACCTGATATGAGTTACCTGATGTGTCTGTTGTTTGTAAGTTGTTTATTGTTTATTTATCTATTTACTGTGTG